GTTCAGTGGTTTCTTCCTCACTGCTTCCCTCTCCTTCTCCCATCTTGACTTCTGGAATAGCACTTTCCGAATACCAGGGATCATACCACATGAACTAGATTTTCAGTTTCTTCATGTTTTCTGGGTAACATCTCCTTTAAAGCATTGACTTTTCTTTAAGGGGGATCTGCTGAGATTCTGCTCTCTCAAGCTAGCACACTAACTGGTATTTACAAAAAAAAAAAAAAAAAAAAAAAAACAAGCCAAGTTCCCCAAAAAAGCTCATTTTAACCAACCCACAGTTTAGCCTACTCACTCTTTTTATTCCATGGGTGATCACTTTGTCTGAGGCAACTTTAATAATAAGGCAGCTGTTGTGTATCAGGTGGAGAACCTGACTGGGCCCTCTAGAAACAATAATCCCCCCCTTTAAAGGTTGTTTACAGAGTTAAATGAGCGAATATTAACAATTGTTAATACTTAGTGGACATTTCCTTTGTGTCAGAAACGGTTCTAAGTGTTTTGCATGAATAATTTGTTGACTCTTTACCACAACTGCAGGAAGAATACTGTTATCCCCAATTCACAGATGAGGAAACTGAGGAGACATTAGGTAACCCGCCCAAGGCATGCAGCTAATGAGGGGTAAAGGCTAGACCGAAATTGAGACTGCCTGGCTCAGATGCCACACTACCAACTATTGCAGCAGCCACTTACTCCGCATGGGGGAACCTAGCACAAGTTCTTAGTCACATGTTGATTGCTTTGATACTACGTTGCCCTAAGTTGAGATTCATTCATCTGCAATGCAGAGGTTGCACTGCCTTGAAGTTCATTCATCTGCGATGCAAATTTGACTCCTCAGTCAAGCTGCTGCTTCATTCTCTCTCTTGCTTTCTAAACTCTGTTGTGGAACAGACTGTTGCTGATCAGTGTCTTTGCATTGCAACTTATGTTCGTATTCTTGTCAAATCTGTTTGAAGGAATAAATGTAAAAGACTTGTCTGCCTAATTATACTGGCCTCTGTTTGACAGAGAATTAATTTAAGAAATGGACACTGTCAGTGGTATGCTGGATGTGGTTGGTACAGACTTGGGAGCCATTTGCTATACTTGAAGGAATTTTGCGAGCTAGTAAACACAGCCATTACTAAAAATTAAGTTATATAAATTTACAATTAAATATATTTCTAAAAAGGTAAAACTCTAGGAAATCATTAGGCATTTTCTTATTAAACACACCTACAACCTAGCAATTGCAATACTGAGTCTTTATCTCCAAGAATTGTAAACTTACATTCACATATTCATTCAAATCTTCATAAATTATGAATACTTATGACAGGTTTCTGTCATAAATATTCATAAGAGCCTTACTTGTATAGCCCCAAACTGGAAACAACTAAAATGGCTTTCAACAGGTAAATGGGTGAACTGTGGTATATCCATACAATAGAATACTACTCAGTAATGAAAAGGAATGAACTATTGATACACACAACTTGGATGGATGCTTAGAAAACAAAGCCAATCTCAAGAGTCATTTTATTGGTCTGCTCAGGCTGCCATAACAAAGTACCACAGACTGGGTGGCTTAAACAATATTAGTTTATTTTTCACAATTCTCAAGACTAAAAGTCCAGAATGAAGGTGCCGGCTAATTTGTTTCCTGATGAAGGCTTTCTTCTTGGCACTTTGGACAGCCACCTTCTCAATTTTCACATGCCTATTTCTCAGTGTGTGCAGATGGAAAGAAAGAGAGGAAGCTCTCTCTCGTCTCCTCTTCTAAAGGTACCCACCCTTATGACCTCATCTAACCCTAATTACCTCCCAGAGTCTCCATCTCCAAATGTCATCACAGTGAAAGTTAAGACTTCCTCATAGGAATTTGGGTGGCAGGTGGACACAAACAGTCCATAACAGCTACATATTGCCTGATTTTATTTACATAACATTCTTTTTTTTTTTTTTTTTTTTTTTTGAGACAGAGTTTCGCTCTTGTTACCCAGGCTGGAGTGCAATGGCTTGATCTCGGCTCACCGCAACCTCCATCTCCTGGGTTCCAGCAATTCTCCTGCCTCAGCCTCCCGAGTAGCTGGGATTACAGGCACACACCAGCCACCATGCCCAGCTAATTTTTCTATTTTTAGTAGAGACGGGGTTTCACCTTGTTGACCAGGATGGTCTTGATCTCTTGACTTCGTGATCCACCTGCCTCGGCCTCCCAAAGTGCTGGGATTATAGGCATGAGCCACCATGCCCAGCCTATATAACATTCTTGAAGTGACACAGTTATGGTGATTAGTGCTTACCAGAAGTTAGGGTTGAGGTGAGAGTGTGACTACCGGGAGGTACCATGTGGAGATATTTTTTGGTAATGGAATAGTTCAGTTTCCTGATAATTACATGAATCCACATAAGTAATAAAATTTCTTAGAACCATACACACACAAAGAATGCATGTAAAAACTGATAAAAATCAGTATGTAAGTATTGTACCCAGGCAGTTTCCTGATTTTGACAATATACTGTAGTTATTTAAGATGCTGTCATTGGAGGCAGCTGGGTGAAGGGCAGGAACTGTCTGTACTACTTTCACAACTGCTTAAGTCTTTTATTTTGTAATAGTTTAAGCTGTTTCAAAATTTAAAAGTTATTTTTAAAGCCCTAAAAAGAATCAACTGTGATACATAAGACAATGTAGTTAAATGTCAGAAACACTATGCTAGGTACTTTATGATTCCATTTATGTGAATTTCTAGAAAGCAAACTAATTCATGCAGTTAGGAGTTAAAAGTAGTTGAGTGAGGTACACTTTGACTGGAAAGGGAGAGAAGGGAATTTTGCGGGATAATGGATATGGTCTATAGCTTGTTTTAGGTGGTAGTTGTACAGGTATATAGAGTAGTTAAAACTCACGAAACTAAACACTTAAGAGCTCAACATTTTATTGTATGAATTTATTATGTCTGTAAATATAAACATCTACATGTGTGAAAAAAATTATAAAAAAGTAAAGGTAAACAAATAATAACTCATCCCTTCCAAATTATCTTACTACTGTCTATAGTCTTGAGATTAAAGAATCTCAAGGCTGTACATATAATAGGTATAAAGTACCTGTTGTATCTGGATGATGGAAACACTATGTAGCAGTGTGCTACACTGGGCATCTCTGGTCAACTTCGTATTTAGTGACTCTCCCATTTGCTCATTCAACAAATGAGGAAATCAAAAGCTCAGGAGACAAGTGAGGGCTAGAGATACAGATTTGGGAGCCTTCTGGGGTATGGACGGAAATAGAAACCATAGAAATGAGTAAGATGGTCTGGTGAGATGGAAGAGTACCAAATCAATGGGGATTGGGTAGAGTGCTTGGAAGCATCAACATTAAAGAACAGGCAGAGGAGCATCTTCCTGTAATTGAAGGGAGATGCACCTGTCTTCTCATCTTGTCTTCTCAATCCAGGTATGAGATGCAGGAGTTAAAAGTAGTTGAGTGAGGTACACTTTGACTGGAAAGGGAGAGAAGGGAATTATCCCCTAGCACAGCTAGGGGAAACCAGGACAGAGTGGTATCAGAGAAGCCAGGAAAATAGTTTCAGGAGGGCTGTACTAAGAGATGCCTGTATTACAAAGATGTTTAGAAAATATAGGAAGGACATGTTTGTTGGATTTGGCAACTAGGAGATTGGTGGTAGCCTTAGAAAGTTATGAGAAGGGTTTATTTCAGAACCTTTCTATCCTATATTCCATATCTTGGTAGATGGCACAGGCATTCATTTAGATGTCCAAGAAATCTGGGAGTCATCCTAGAATACTCCTTTCTAACTCTCCACATGTAAGTGGTCACCAAGACCTGTGGGTGCTCCCCCTAAATATTTCTCACTTTTCTTCTCTTTACCCCTCACTTCTACTGTCCTTGTCCATTTCCTCTCTTGTCTAAACCACTGCAACAATTTACTCTCTCCACTAGTTCAGTCTTCCCTTCCAGGCAATTTTTCTTGGGCCAAGATCACTCATTGTACTCTGGCCTGTGTGACAGGGCGAGACTCTGTCTCAGAAAAAAAAAAAAAGGCTGGGCACTGTGGCTCACACTTGTAATCCCAACAATTTGGGAGGCAAGGTAGGTGGATCAAGAGGTCAAGAGACCGAGACCATCCTGGTTAACATGGTGAAACCCCATCTCTACTAAAAATACAAAATTTAGCTGGGGGTGGTGGCATGTGCCTGTAGTCTCAGCTACTCGGGAGGCTGAGGCAGGAGAATCGCTTGAACCCAGGAGGCGGAGGTTGCAGCAAGCTAAGATCACATCACTATGCTCCAGCCTAAGTGATAGAGTGAGACTCCATCTCAAAAAAAAAGAAAAGGAAAATAATATTATTTAAAACTCCCCATTCCCCATCACTGGTGTTTGTAACCTGGGGACTATGAATCTGGGAAGAGAGAATGTGGACATGTGCAGGTGAGCAAGCACATTCACCTTGGGAAAGGCATATCTCTAATTAGATGTTAAAAGTGGTCCCAAGACCCAAAAATTTGTAACAATTATACTGTTTTCTCTTCAGATAGTATAAATCTTTCACCTTTTACCAAAATTGTGTAAAAATTAATGCCTTTATTCTAAATACCTTCTCTGCACAAACTCAAGGCTGGCTTCTAAACTACCCATCCAATGCCATCTACTACAACCCTCTAACCCCTAGTTCTTCGTGGACCAGCAATACAGATTTATTTGTGGCATCCAGAATGTGCCATATGCTCTCTTTTCTTGAGCACGTACAGAGCTTTTCCTCTTTGATTCTTTCCCGGACAGCCTCTTCTCCCACAATTACTAGTATTAATGGTACTCTAATTGTTAGTTTACAGGTCTATCTTTCCATCTGGACTGTAAACTCCTTGCAGGGCATGGCTGTGTCTTTTCATTCATGCCCAGCACCCAACGCAGCATCTGTTAAGTGAATACACCAGTGAAGGGATCAATCAGTTGTAGAACAAATATGTGGCCTTTTCTCTCTTAGGTGCTCTTGATCAGACTACAGAATGGATAAAAGAATCTGTAAATGAAGAATTATTTTCTCTTTCTGAGAGTGCTTTAACTCCTGGGGCCGAAAATACCTCCAAGCCAAGCCTGAGCCCTACTTTGGTGCTAAATAATAGTTACTTGAAACTGTTACAGTGGGATTATCAGAAAAAAGAATTACCAGAGGTGAGTGACTTTGTTCTTCCTCCAAATTTCCCAGCAGTTTAGTTCTTACTAACTTTGAATCATCTGGTCTGTGTTTCATGTGGTTTAATGATTTTACAAAAATCAGGTAAAAATGGGAATTTGGAAATGACATTGCTTATTTTTTATTTTCATGATATTGAGCTACCCTTTCTATTTTTATATTTTAAATAAATATGTCAGACACTCATGACAGATGGAGCACGTCTTCAGGAACTGACAGAAAAGCTGAATCAATTGAAAGTTATTGCCTGCCTGTCCCTAATTACCAACAACATGGTGGGTGCTATTACAGAAGGCCTGCCTGAGTTTGCAAACAGGTTAAAAAGGATTTCAGCTGTTCTACTTGAAGGCATGAACAAAGAGTAAGTTCCAAATGTTTGCATCTGCTCCCTCTTGTATTAAGGCTCTGCATGCATCTGAGAGAACACGAATAACATTGGACATCTGGATGTGAGATTAAGGACTGCTTTAGAGAAGCTTATCTTACACCTTCTTTTTCTAGAATTTCCCTTAATATCTCTGAAGGCTTAGCTGTCCTCTCATAGGAAGGGAGAGGTGTTTTCCATGACAAGTGCCAGGGTGAGTGTAGTATTTGCACTTACAATGAATGCGTACAACAGCTTTTGTTTGACAGTGCTTTGGAAAAAACAAGCAAAACACAGAATCCGCCAAGCTCGGTGTTTAGAACTGTACTATTGAAGAGGGTTGCCCAGGTCCAGTTGTTCTGACTTCATCGTTGTTCTGCAATGAAACGTTTACTGACTTCACAAATCCACCTTGCTGCAAAGTCTTAAGAAGCATTGACAGTTCTGCCTTTCAGAGATGTCCAGTGAAGATTTTGGTTTTTGCCAAATTTATCTCCAGGATTACACCTTCATGAATGCTGGAATCCCATTTAGATTTTGTATTTACATCATTCCATAGGAATTCCTATCCAAGTCAGAAAATTCTTAGTCTTGGTGAATGGCCACATGGTCTCATATGGGCCAGCTTCTCCTACTGGTTCCTCTTTCAGGTGTCTTCAGAGACATATCCTTTTTATTCCTGTAATTGAAGGGAGATGAACCTGTTTTCTCATCCTCCTGCCTATTATTCAGGGAGCGTATAAATTACTTGATCAAATCCTAGACTATTAAGAGCCAAAAGGAGCCCAAGCAGTTATAGAATCCCACGTCCCAGCCAGGCACCGTGGCTCACGCCTGTAGTCTCAGCACTTTGGGAGGCCGAGGTGGGTGGATAACCTGAGGTTGGGAGTTTGAGACCAGCCTCACCAACATGGAGAAACCCCGTCTCTAATAAAAAAAAAAAAAAAAAAAAAAAAAAAAAAGAATCCAAATGAAGCTTAGAGATAGAATAAGCTGTTTGCCTTAGGCTACACAACTAGAAAAGAGCAGACCAACGACTGAGCCCTGATCTGACCTTTCTCCTGATTCTGATGCTCACCTGCTTGGGTCATTCCAGGACCCAAGACCTATAATGAAAGGAAACCTCTGATTTTGTAGTTGGTCTTACCATTTTCCTGCATGGGTAATCATTAATTTCCAGAAACTTTTATTTATTAAGCACTCAGAGAACACCCAGTGCTGCTTGAATGTTACTATAAAGTATACAGAAAGTGGTTACTAAGAATACAGGCTTTTGGGTCAGACAGACCAGGGTTTAAATCCCAGCTCTGCTATTGACTTATTCTGAACACTTGAATACATTCTCAAATTACTATGAGGCCTGACTTTCTCACTTGTAAAAAGGGAATAATAATTGTATAAATATCTACCTTGGAGTTGTGAGAATTTAAAATGATTCATGTACAGGTGTCTGGCACATAACATGTACTCAATGAATACTAGCTTTTAATAACTAGCCATTAAATCATCCTCTATATAATTTTATCTGGTTGTTTATCTGGTTGTTTTATTGTTTTAATTTTTTCCCATGTTAGAGAATGAATACAGTCAATGCTCAATTATCCTCATTATGGACGGGGCAATAGCATTCGTAGTATAAAAATGGGATAATATTTATTGATTGATAGATTTTTAATTTTTTTCCCTTTTTCAACTTTTATTTTAGGTTCAGGGGCACATGTACAGGTTTTTTACATGGGTAAATTGTGGGTCGCTGGGGATTGGTGTACCAGTGATTTCATCACCCAGGTAGTGAGCATAGTTCGTTTTAACCCTTACCCTCCCCCACACCTCCTCCTTTAAGTGTAGGCTCCGGTATCTATTGCTCCCCTTTGTGTCCATGTTTACTCAATGTTTGGCTCCCACTTCTAAGCAAGAACATGTGGTATTTTGTTTTCTGTTTCTGAATTAATTTCACTTAGGATAATGGTTTCCAGCTTTACCCATGTTGCTGAAAAGAACATGATCTTATTCTTTTTATGGCTATATAGTATTCCATGATGTATATATACCATATTTTCTTTATCCAGTCCACCATTGATGGGCATCTAGGTGATTCCATGTCTTTGCTGTTGTGAATAGTGCTGCAGTGAACTAACAGTACGTGGTCTTTTTGATGGAGCGATTTCTATTTCTTTGGGAATAAACCTAGTAATGGGATTGCTGAGTCGAATGGTAGTTCTGTTTTAAGTTCTTTTAGAAATCTCCAAACTGCTTTCCACAGTGGCTGAACTAATTTACATTCCCACCAGCAGTGTGTAAGTGTTCTCTTTTCTCTGCAATCTTGCCAGAATCTGTTATTTTCTGACTTTTTAATCATAGCCATTCAGGCTGGGCACAGTGGCTCACGCCTGTAATCCTAGCATTCTGGGAAGCCAAGGCGGGCAGATCACTTGAGGTCAGGAGTTTAAGACTAGCCTGCCCAAGATGGCGAAACCCTGTTTCTACAAAAAATACAAAAAAGAAAAATTAGCCGGCCGTGGTGGTGCATGCCTGTAGTCCCAGCTACTCAGGAAGGTGAGGCAGGAAAATTGCTTGAACCTGGGAGGTGGAGTTTGCAGTGAGTCGAGAGTGTGCCACTGTACTCCGGCCTAGGCAATGGAGTGAGACTCCGTCTCAAAATAAATAAATAACCATTCAGACTTGTATGAGATGATATCTTACTGTGGTTTTGATTTGCATTTCTCTAATGATTAGTGATGTTGTGCATTTTTTCAGGTGCTTTTTGGCTACATGTTTGTCTTATTTTCAGAAATATCCGTTCATGTTCTTCGCTCATTTTTTAATGAGCTAGTTTTTTGCTTGTTGAGTGTTTAAGTTCCTTATAGATTCTAGATATTAGACTTGTCAAATGCATAGTTTGCAAATATTTTATCCCATTCTGCAGGCTGTTTACACTGTTGATAGTTTCTTTTGCTGTGAATAAGCTCTTCAGTTTAATTAGGTCCCACTGGTCTGTTTTTGTTTTTGTTGCATTTGCTTTTGGATAGTTCATCATGAAATCTTTCCCAAGGCCTGTGTCCATAATAGTATTTCTCCGATCTTCCTTTAGGGTTTTTAAATGTCTTATAGTTAAGTCTTGGGTTGATCTTTGTATATGGTGAAAGGAAGGGGTCCAGTATCAATTTTCTGCATATGGCTAGCCAGTTTCTTATTTTAGCCTAAGAACTCACTGATTAAAAGCAAGAAAAAGCTAGAGCATTACCCTGTAGTGGATAAAAACTCAGAAGGTAAAATTCTTACCACTATCAGTCTATCCTTGAGTTTGTAGAACTCCAAAGTCAGGTCCAGTGTGGGCTTTTAACAAATTCCAGTCAATGCAGAACACTAATAACTTATTTCTTATTGCTGTTAATGTTGATAAACATGATAACCCATTTTTCTCTTTTTCGTCTTCTTCTATGTGCCTGACCATCTGCTAAGAGCTAATTATTAGACACATAGCAATTTCAGGGGTAGAGTCAGGATTTGAACCCAGCTCCACACGACACCATAGCCTATGTTCCAACTCATTCTATTACACTGCTTCTTATCATTGAGTCCTTCTCACATCCTTTAATTCCCATTTTGGAGTTATCTTAAGGACCCTTTCTAGATAGTGAGATAGAATTTTCAATCATCATTCCCTAATAGTGTAGACCCAACAAATGCCTTTTTTTTTTTTTTTTTTTTTTTTTGAGATGGAGTCTCGCTCTCTCGCCCAGGCTGGAGTTTCAGTGGCATGATCCTGGCTCACTGCAACCTCCGCCTCCCAGGTTCAAGAGATTCTCCTGCCTCAGCCTCCTGAGTAGCTGGGATTACAGGCACATGCTACCACACCCAGCTAATTTTTCTATTTTTCATTTTTTCTAATTTTTCTATTTCACCATGTTCGTCAGGCTGGTCTCCCACTCTTGAGCTCAGGTGATCTGCCCACCTCGGCCTCCCAAAGTGCTGGAATATTACAGGTGTGAGCCACTGTGCCCGGCCTCAACAAATGCCTTTTCTAATTACCTATTTTTCCTTGGCTACTAAATAACTCAGTCTTTAATTACCTTTACAACTTTATGGACTGTATATATTGAAGATTATTCATTAGTTACTTGAATAATGAGAAGGAGCTTATTATCTTTGGTCATGATCAGCCAAGAGTTTTAGGTATTTGACCTCTGAATATCTTCATTTGTTGTTTTTTATTGATATTGTAGATTTATTGCTCAAGCATAGACAAATGAATTGAGTCTACTTCCTTTATCAAGTACATTTTTAAAAAATGTGTGAATGAATGCACTCAGACCAATGGGTTTATTTTAGGAAGTAAGTTGGTGTTTTCTGTCCCTTTCTGATAGCCCTGCAATATAAAATGAGCTTGCAGGTGCATTTTCGGGGACCACACTTTCCTGCTTATGCTTTTCTATTTAATTACTGCTACACAATTTAATGGTTTTAAGCATTTAAAAATCTGCTACATATGAAGGTTGGTGGTTGGGAGGAGTTACTATTTTATAAGTTCATTCTAATAGAGGCTATTATTGTTTAAGAAAAAATTGGTAGACAGCTAAAACAAGTCAGTATATTTAAAAATAAACTGATGAACAAAAACTTTCCCTGGTGGAATTTCATTTTATGTTTCACAGGACCTTTAACTTGAAGGAAGTCCTGAATTCTATTGGTGTTCAGACTTGTGTTGAGATTAACAAGACCCTGACGGAAAGAGGTTTACCCACTTTAAATGCTGAGATTCAAGCTAATCTCATAGGTCAATTTTCAAACATTGAAGAGGACAATCCTATCTGGTCCTTGATCGGTGAGTCCTCATGTTTTTATTGATTTCTGCTTCAATTCCAGTTTGCTTTAACTTGCTGATTTTGACTGATCTTAAATCAGTAAAAATTTGGTCTTAAACACATTACCCACTTTTGGAGGATAAATATTGAAAATATAAAGAAATATTAATATTTCCACAGGCCTGGGACTCATTGCTGCTTCTGTGTGTCGTGGGGTAGGGAGGATGTTTCAAGGCCTACTATCTTATCTGTTTAGCCAGTAGATTTTATGAAGAGAATAGCAGAGTGCAGGAGTAATATTAAAATTGTAGATCAATGCAGTAATTCAAACCAGCTGGCTGTATGTTCACAGATAGTAGATATCAGTTCTGCTGTGAGCAACTCTCTGGAACTTGGTCAGGCTTAAAGAGACAAAGACTAAAAAGGCTGTGGATCTGGGTGACATAGTGGGTAGGCTTTTTTTGTAACGGTCGGCCAGGAAATTGACTATCTCAAAGTCAAGCTGTGTTGGTGAGTTGGGATAATAGATAATGTATCAGTTAGGACTTTGTCAGTTACCTGTGACAAGAATCTAAACTTCTAAACTAGCTTAAACAAAATGAGCATTTATTTTCTCATCTACTTGAAAAGACCAGGGATAAGGCTGCTGCCGGTACTAGTTTCCCTGTCTCCAAGTCTCAACACTGCCTTCTTCTAGGCCAGCTGCCTTCACAGGCAGACTTTTCTCATGACAGCAATATGGCTTTAGCTCTGGCCTCAACTTTCCATATTTAAGTCAAGTGAAAAACAAGGAACCTGCCTCCCTGTTAGCTCAAACAGTTAACCCATCATTGAGTCTCAGTGGCTCCAGTTAGCCTGACTATGGTTCACATCCCATTCTTGAATTAGTCATACTGGCCTGAGGGGGAGAAAGTTAACCCCGAGACAGTATTTACCTCCTGGAGCCAAGGAAGAGTCAGTTTTATCTGTTAACACCTGATGAGAGTAGGGAGGAGATGGTTAACCCCAAACAAAATCAGCGTATTGAGGCCATAGGAAGGCGAGAAGCTGCCGTGTGGTACAGAGCAGTTGTCTGCTACAGAGGTTGAAGGATGAAAACCAAAAAGTAGAAGAGTGTAGAATTAGAATGTACTAACCTTCTAGGACTTATCTGCAAATTTTCAAAATTGACTTCCCTAAGAATACAAATACATTTTATTATTTATTTGGGGCTTTCAAGTGGTGTTTTTCATCCTTATCCCTGGAGACATGGAATTCTGGGGATCCAGGCCATACAGGCTACTTTAGTGGCTCAAGGCTTCAGCTTTGCCCCCAGAAAATAGTGTTGGTGTGTACAACATTGTGGGCTGCTGGAGAGGCCACTCCTGAGAGGAGACAGTTGATAACAATAACAAACAGAGCATGACCACTGCCACCTGTGTCCAAGCCCCTATCTATATACCTTCACATGCTGACATGTATCTGTCCTCAGAGCATGTCATCCCCAGCTGAACAGGTCAAACCCGAGAGATTGTGTTCTAGGAGGCAGAGGGATAGAATGGAGACTGAGACTCTATCTAGCAGTCTCTGCAACATACTACCATATCCCCAGTAGTGTGCAGGTCTCATGAGGACGGGTTGCATATTTATTCACTGCCATATTCTTGTGCAGTCCTGCACCCACACATAATATTTAATAAATATGGGCCAGGCATGGTGGCTCATGCCTGTAATCCCAGCACTTTGAGAGGCCAAGACGAGTGGATCACCTGAGGTTGGGAGTTCAAGACCAGCCTGACCAATATGGAGAAACCCTGTCTCTGCTAAAAATAAAAAATTAGTTGGGTGTGGTGGTGCATGCCTGTAATCTCAGCTACTTGGGAGGCTGAAGTAGGATAATCGCTTGAACCTGGGAAGTAGAGGTTGTGGTGAGCTGAGATCGCACCATTGCACTCCAGCCTCGGCAACAAGAGCCAAACTCTGTCTCAAAAAAAAAGAAAAAATTAATAAACATTTGTGAAATGGGTGAATGCATACGAGGCTTCCAGAGGTTAAATAACTCTCTCACTCAAAGTCCCATAATGAGCTGAGGGCAGAGTAGGGATTCTTCCCCCGCCTGTCTGACTACAGAGCTCATGTTCTTAACTGCTCTGACTGGCACTTCAGTGAGAGCTGGAGCCCTGCTGCTTGCTGGCAGAGTGACCAGAGTATCAGAGTGTACTCTCTGCCTTTTCTTTGGATAAGGGAAATGCTTGCAGTGTCAGAAGGAAGAGGGAAGCTGAGGGCCAGGAGATGCCTCTTAAAATCTGGTAAAGCAACTTTTGTCCACCCAGCTTTCCCCAGTCCAACCTTCCTGTCCTTTTGCACATTGAAAGCATTTTTAATCTCATTCAAAGTACTGTTGCCCTAGCAACTTAAATGACTCACTTGAGTGTCCCTCCTTTGACTTTGGAAGCCAAGGACACGCCTTTGGCAGGGACTCCTTTTGGCTGCTCTTAACTGGAAAAACACTCTTGTCACTTTAGCCTTTGCCTAAAAACGGACTCATCTGCAGAAGAGGCAGAAGAGACAGAACCACTTGTTAGCATAAGAACAATTTTGAAAGAGTTTCATTCTTTAAACCTTCTTATGGGAAAGTGTCTGGATCATCTCTGTGATAATATAGACCTGAGCCTCTGAAGGTCAGGAAACTAGTCTAAAGGGAAAGTAGTTCCCAGTTAACTCTAAATGTATGCCTACAGAGTAGTTAGAATAAATCAAACAGAGAGATTCCTGGAACATGAGAAGGGCCTGATCAGTGTTGGCCATGGTTTTCCTCTGCTCAGGGTACGCATAGTCTGCTTTCTTTTATTCTCAGTTGATGCATTATTTATTTACTGAAGGGATTACAATCCCCAATTCCCATTACAATTCTTAACCTTTTGAAAAAATATTAGAAAGAGATTTTTCTTTCAATTACATACTAAGTAAAAATTATGGATTACCTGCTATATAAATTATTTGTATGCCTACTGCCATCTATATTTTTAACAAGTAATTTCAATTCCACAGGTGATACAGAATAATTTCTCCTTGTGGAAAAATTACAGACAAAGGCCAGGCATGGTGGCTCATGCCTGTCATCCCAGCATTTTGGGAGGCTGAAGCAGGAGGACGGCTTGAGGCCAGGAGTTAGAGGCTATCCTGGGTGACAGATGGAGACCCTGTCTATTAAAAAAAAAAAAAAAAATTACATATAAGGCTCAAGTCACCTTTGTTTGCCTTCTTCCGTCCCCATTTCCAGTGGCTTCCACAGTTTTCAGTTTGTTATTCATCTTTATAGACTCTTTCTAGTCCATTCTCACTTAAGTTTAGTCAGCATTTACAATGTGTCTGTCACAGGGCAGACCAAGAATATAAAAATAAAAAGGATATAACCCTCACTCTCGGCGAGTCCACTATCCAAGAAGGAAAAGAGACACTTTCTCAACTGGCAATAATATGGCATGATAGTCTGGTAACAGATGCTAAGGAAAGTCACAGAAAGGAGGTAACTTTCAGCATGACATTGAAGATGCCTCTGACTCTGGGCAGAGATGAGATGAGATGGAAGCACATTCTAGTAAAAGGAAAGAATTCTAAGACATGGACATTGGAAACTAAGTTCTAGGTCAGACCTAGCTGGAATGTATGATTTTTGTGAGCATTCTTTAGCAATAAGAATTTCAATAGTATCATAGTTGTCCATGTTTAATGCAGTGTATTTTCCTTAGTAAACCTTCTTATTGGTGAGGTTTCTGTTCCCAAAGCCAAAGAAAGCCCTTGGGGCAGCGTGAGCTGTAGCAGGTCTTTTCTGTCTAGTATTATTCATAGTTGTCCCATGTTATTGTAGCCTCATATCAAACGCAGATACATTGAAGCAATGAAGCAGGAAATGTGGGTAAGGTGGCACAATGGTATGCTAGTTGGGGTGGCCCTTCCTCAGTGTCTTCTGATTCTTAGCCATGTGTAAATTGACCTATAATTTTAGTGTTAATTAATTACTTATGTTTTGAGATGGGGTCTCCCTCTGTTGCCCAGGCTGGAGTGCAGTGACATGATCACAGCTCACTGCAGCCTCAAATTCATGAGCTCCGGCAGCCCTCTCAACTCAGCCTCCTAAGTAGCTGGGACTATAGGCACACACCACCATGCCTGGCTAATCTTTAATTTTTTAATTTTATTTTTGTAGAGATTAAGTCTCACTATATTGTCCAGGCTGGTCTTGAACTCCTGGACTCAATTGATCCTCTCACCTTGGCCTCCCAAAGTGTTGGGATTACAGGTGTGAGCCACTGTTCCTGGCTCCATGCAATTTATTGTTCAACCAGGGTACTTTTGAATGTCTCTTTTTAAAATTATGCCAGGACAACAGGTGTAAATTTCAACCGTCCTGGGGAAAGCTAGATACGTGGTCCCCCTTGCCATGTGGTAATTTGGGCCCCCAATGTTGCCAGATCTCTAGATTTTTCAAGAGAAACGAGTAATACGGATTTCTGTGTGAAAGCTTCTAATTTTAAATGGCTTCTATTCAAAACAAAACAAAACAAAAGACACTGCATGGGCCAGACTGGCAATGCCAGTTTACATTGGCCATGTGTGAAGTGACCTGTAATTTATTTAGTTTTAATTCATTATGTTTGACATGGAGTCTCTCTCTGCTGCCCAGGCTTAAGTCACCTTTATTTGCCTTCTTCAGTCCTCATTTTGTAAACTCACTAAACTTTAGTGATTAGTGGATTACAATTACGAGCATTTAGGATTAACTTTTGTAAAAGATTCCCCCCAACAAGGGCTCTGCATTTTTTATCAGTCAGCTATTGCTGTATAACAAAATACCACAGAACTTCTGAGCTTAAAAAGAAAATAAGCATTTATTATTACTCACTAGTCTGTGACGTGGCCAGGTGGCTCTTGTGTTCTTGCTGAACTCACTAATGTATTTGTGGGTCAGCTGTGGTTCAGGATGGACGCTTTGCTGATGCTGGCTAGACTCTTTCAGGTATTTGAATGTTGGTTGGCTATAGGCCAGTCTAGGATGGCCTCAGATGAAACAGCTAGGTTTACCTCTTCTTGATCTCTCATCCTCCAGCAAGCCCAGGCTTATTCTCATGGCGGTGGTAGGTAGAAAGTGGACATGAACCACGCCTCTTGAGGCCAAGGCATGAAACTGGTGCTATGGCATTTCCACCGCATTCTGTATTGGCCAAAGTAAGTCACAGTGTCAGTCCGGATGAAAAGGATGGGGAGGGAGGGCATGGTGGCTCACCCCTGTAATCCCAGCACTTTGGGAGGCCGAGGTGGGTGGATCACCTAAGGTCAGGAGTTTGAGACCAGCCTGGCCAATATGGTGAAACCCCTTCTCTACTAAAAATACAAAAAATTAGTCGGGCATTGGGGCGGACACCTGTAATCCCAGCTACTTGGGTGTTTGAGGCAGAAGAATCACCTGAGCCCAGGAGGTGGAGGTTGCTGTGGGCTGAGATAGCGCCATTGCACTCCAGCCTGGGTAACAAGAGTGAAACTCTGTCTCAGAAAAAAAAAAAAAAAAAAAAGGATGGAGACACACACTCCAGCCTTTGATAGGAGTAGCTGCAAAGCTACCTTGGAAAGGGGATGGGTGCAGGGAGGGGTAAAGAATTGGAAACATTGCAGTCAATCTACTACAATTATTTGTTCCTGTTTTTAAAATTTATGTGCTTTAATAATTGACAGATAACAATATCTTTTTTCTCCTCAGATAAACGAATTAAGCTTTACATGAAAAGCCTACTTTGTCTTCCAAGCCCTCAAAAATGCATGCCTCCTATGCCAGGAGGCCTAGCTGTCATTCAGCAGGAGCTAGAAGCCCTAGGCTCTCAATATGCAAACATTGTGAATCTCAACAAACAAGTATATGGACCATTTTATGCAAATATACTTCGAAAACTACTCTTCAGTGAGGAAGCCAAGGGGAAGCCAGATGCTTCACCTCCTACTAACTGAAGAACTGACATTGGATGAGAGATTGGAAATCCAGCACTTTGGTATCCAGTCCACTTCCATTAACGGCATTATAGGTCTAGCACACTCTCAGTACTGTGGTGCAGTATTAGCCCAAATCTGTGTAATGGGTAATATTAGCATTACGGAAGACACACATCACATAGACTCTATTTGTGCATCATTTTCAACTTTAAAACAGACATAATGAACAGAAAACAATTTATAATTAATTATATTCCCTATATAATACTTGTAAATGTTTTCTTAACCATTTATATTTGGCTTATGACATTCAACCCATAAGGAGTTGTTTTTCTCACTTGTCATTATCAAACATAATGATTTTTAATTTTGGTACAACTCCTTAAAGGGTTGAAGGTTGTGAGAATAACCAAGGGAATTGATGTTCTGAATAAATGATGTGAAGTAACATAATTGTATTTGAAATATACAGTTACATTTTATTGTGTTAATAGAAACTTACATAGTAAGTCCTCAAATTCCACAAATCTACCAAACCACATTTTATAATACCATTGGTCAGTATTTATTTAGAATTTGAATGTATTAAGTACATTTTTATGCTATATACAAACTTTAGATAAAAACTTCCTTGTTTAGTGAAAATAGAAGCAGCTGCCTTCTAAAATTATTCTAGACGTTTGTTTCTTCTTACACTTTAGCCTGCTCCCCAAGAAAGACAATTTTTGCACAAATCTCTTAGTGAATGTTCTTGCATTTCTCAGGCTATTGATAAGGTTTATATAAGAGTTTAATATTTTTATGTGAGGCAGGACTTGTTTGAATTGGTTTACTTGTAAGAAGAAGAAAGGAAGTCAATGATAAAATGAGATCCCATTCTCTATGAAGTTTGTATCAAAAAAAGAAACAGTTAAACTTTTCTTACCTATGTAACTAGCAGATGTCTTTTGTGCTGATGAAAGCTTTCCATGTTATGACCAAGATGCTCTTGAAAGGATCATTATTATTTGCCATTCTTTTTTTTTCTTTTCTTTTCTTTTTTTTTCCAGATGGAGTCTCACTCTGTCACCCAGGCTGGAGTGCAGTGGTGCAATCTCAGCTCACTGCAACCTCTGCCTCCCGGATTCAAGTCATTCTCCTGTGTCAGCCTCCCAGGTAGCTGGGATCACAGGCACCTGCCACCATGCCTGGCTAATTTTTATATTTTTAGTAGAGACGGGGTTTCACCATGTTGGCCAGGCTGGTCTTAAACTCCTGATCTTGTGATCCACCCGCCTCAGCCTCCCAAAGTGCTGGGATTACAGGCATAAGCCCACCATGCCCGGCCTTATTTGCCATTCTTGAGCCTTAAGTCAAACCTTGCAAAGTTGGGTACTAGTTGTCACTGAGACTTTAGAGAAATCTGCTTTATCCTGGAATGACTCTTCTTGGAGTGTTGAGGGATGCACCTCAGTTTGGAGGCACTTGGTCTAAAAAGAGCTTCATTTGCATAAAATACATTTTTGATTGTTTTGTTTGCTAAGGACTCAATTGAGCCTTAGTAATTTCATGAGGTAGAGTGGATAGAAAATAAAAAGGAGTATTCCTTTCTTCCCCAACCTTCTTTTCCTCACCACAACCTTCACCATTATGGATGTTATTTCATTATTTTATAAAGTTCTAGGAAATGATTGTGTGGATAAATTATCTCCATTGTTTGTATTTGGGGAAATCGATCAAAATTTGAGAAAATTCCAAAAGTTTTGTTTTGTTTTTTTCCCCCGTAATGTCCAATACATAAATCAGCCATTCTCTCCACGTAAGCAGCTGAGTGCAAGTGGACTTTTACTGAAGAGTACACCATTGCTCTTAGCTATTTTTTTCTCTTCATGTAATCCCCTTCTGCCCCTGTTTTCCTATGCGCAAAAACTTTAAGGTGCTAAAGACATCTGGTTTTCTCTTAAGCTGAAGGAGTTTTCAGCTGTGCTGTCTTTGGGGCCTGGGCAGCAGAAAGAGTCTGACAGTACAAAGGTAATATGGGCTGGGCATGGTGGCTCACGCCTGTAATCCCAGCACTTTGAGAGGCCAAGGAGGGTGGATCATGAGGTCAGGAGTTCGAGACCATCCTGGCCAACATGGTGAAACCCCGTCTCTACTAAAAAAATAGAAAAATCAGCTAGATGTGGTGCACGCCTCTAATCCCAGCTACTCAGGAGGCTGAGGTAGGAGAATCACTTGAACCCGGGAGGCAGAGGTTGCAGTGAGCCGAGATCCTGCCATTGCACTTCAGCCTGGGCAATAGAGAAAGACTTCGTTTCAAAAAAAAAAAAAAAAGGTAGTATGTAGTGTGATTTTTTTTTTTGTTGTTTTCTGGGGTGAACTGTATATTTAACAGGTGGTGTATTTTTTATTACCGGATTTGAATCCAGCTGATCCTCTTTTATATACTTGATTATACTGCAGTGGCCAGCAGGAAAACAATGTACAAACATTTTTTAAAAATGCATTTAAAATGAAGGGCATTCTGCTGCTTTTTTTGTTAATGGCAAAGTAAATCTCAATATCTCTTTCAAGTCTGGATTTAGGCAACTACATTTATTAGGATTTTAAAAATCGTATCCTTTAGCATGTTGTTTATTTGGTTTTTACATAAATGTTTACTACTCTTAATGTTTTCCTAATGTGGTCTCATTTTGTAATGTAAATTTTTATTAAATGCCATACATGTATTTTCATTCTTCTACTAAACATGTATTGTGTGCACTTACTAAATTTTAAAACATTAAAAATTATTTCAAAATAGCCAGTGTCTCGGTTTCTAAACCACTTCTGGGTAACTTGGGGCTGGAATACTGAATAGTCTTTTTAGAATGATTTCTTGTGCTGACCATCAAAGCTTTATAGACATCAAGTCATGTTTCTTCATGCATACATTGATTCATTGAGTCAATAAACACCTATTGAGCATCTGCTGTGTGCCTGCCAAGAAATATCCCAGTGGTTGTGATACATAGGTGATTAAACACATTGTCTTCAATAAGTTTTTAAGCTAGTGAGAAAGACAACCTTTTGAACAGTTACAATAAAATATAATGAAGACTAAAAAATAAGGCTGGGGCTGAGCACAGTGGCTCACACCTGTAATCCCAATACTTTGGGAGGCCAAGGGAGGTTATATCACTTGAGGCCAGGAGTTCAAGACAAGCCTAGCCAACATGGCAAAACCCAGTCTCTATTAAAATACAAAAATTAGCTGGTGTGGTGGCACATGCCTATAATCCCAGCTACTTGGGAAGCTGAAGCCCGAGAATTGCTTGTACTCGGAAGGCAGAGGTTGCAGTGAGCCAGGATCATGCACTGCACTCCAGCCTGGATAACAGAGCAAGACCCTGTCTAAAAAATAAAAAAATAAAAAAAAAATTCTATTTCATAGAGATGATAATTAGCTAAAACATGAGAGATACATAGGAACTTGCCAAGATGCCACAAAAGGAAAAAACACGATAGGCCAAGTGCACAGTAAGTACAATGGTATGGAGAAATGGTGAGCCCAGGGATCAGAGTAAGGTAGAATGAAAGTGATGAATGAGAGGTGGCCAGGTGCGGCGGCTTACACCTATAATCCCAGCACTTCAGGAGGCCGAGGCAGGTGGATCACTTGAGGTCAGGAGTTCGAGACCAGCCTGGCCAATATGGTGAAACTCCGTCTCTACTAAAAATACAAAAATTAGCTGTGCATGGAGGCAGACAGCTGTAATCCAAGCTACTCGGGAGGCTGAGGCAGGAGAATCACTTGAACCCAGGAAGTGGAGGTTGCAATGAGCTGAGATCACCCCACTGCGCTCCAGCCTGGGCAGCAGAGGGAGACTTCATCTCAGAAAAAAAAAAAAAGTGATGAGAGGTGCAATAAGAAAGATGAAAAGTTTCTCAGATGCCATGCTAAAATTTGGGCGGTGGAAGCAGAGGGTTGTCCAAAAAGGAAAAAGAATAATTGAATCTCTTGAAACAGAAGAAGGTCACAAATAAATCTGTTTTGGTAAGATTGTCCTGGCAAAGAACACTTGTCGATGCTAGAATATTCCTATGTCTGGTGTGTGTAAGTGTACATGCACTCACACGTGAAGACATGATACCAGCAATTGAAATGGACTCTGGTTAACTGAAGCAGAAAAGGAGTTTATGGGATGGGCATGAAGTACCTCACAGAATCTAATCAGAGAGGAGCCAGGTTTGGAAAATGGAGAGGAACCAGGGCGATGCAAGCTGCAGTAGTCCAGCCACGCCGGAATCAGGGCTACCACTTCAAAGATTGATTTCTCAACTGTCTTTCTTTCTTTGCCCCATTTGCTTAAAGTCCCATATACCAAGATTCACTTGAGTGAATCTAAGTCAAGTGCCCAGGCTGTAATTTGCAGGGAATGGAGCAAGGAAATTATGATCTTTACACTCCTGTGGTCCCATCAAAGTCATCCAATTAGGGATTTCTCCCAAATTGGAAGGGCATACTGAAAAGCAGAAAGAGAAAAATTAATCCACTGTAATGAACATTTATGAAATCTTTAAAATTTGGATGTGAGCAATGTGTGAGGAGACCACCCAAACCAGCAGTGCTTCTGAGAATGATACAAAAGATGATTTAAGGAAGGGCATAGTTACAAGAAGTCAACCTTTCTTAATAAGTGTTGGTTAGGCCAGGCACAGTGGCTCACACCTGTAATCCCAGCACTTTGAGAGGCCGAGGGTGGGGGGTGGATCACAAGGTCAAGAGATCGAGACCATCCAGGCCAACATGGCAAAACCCGTCTCTACTAAAAATACAAAAATTAGTTGGGCATGGTGGCATGCGCCTTTAGTCCCAGCTACTTGGGAGGCTGAGGCGGGAGAATTGCTTGAACTCTGGAGGTGAAGACTGCAGTCAACCAAGATCGTGCCACTGCACTCCAGCCTGGCGACAGAGCGAGACTCCATCTCAAATAAAACAAAATAAAATAAAAAAGTGTAAGTGAACTGCTGAGCAAACAGCCCCCAAGTGTCATGGCCTCATAAGCTCATTTCTCAAAGTTTAAAGCATGGGGTAGGGTGGAGTTTGGGAGGGTCCTCCATTCAGCCATCCAGGGACCCAACTTCCATCCATGTTATGACTCTGCTGTCCTCTAAATCACTCGGCTGATAGGGAAGGGAAAAAGACTGCCCTCTTCCACTTGTGTTCCATTGGCAAGAATTCAATAATGTGGCCTCATCTTACTGCAAAGGAGGCTGGGGAAAGTGCCCGGGAGAAAGGCTGTCATGGATATTGGTAAGCATTAGCTGTCTCCACTTCAGGTCCCTCCAGTGAACCTTCTCTTCATGAAAATAGGTTTAAAATCATGTGCCTGATCTTTCAGTAATAATTCCCCAGAGAGGTGAGGATTTGAAAGCCTGATCTAGGAGAATCACTAATGAGTTCTATGGATGACTGGCAAACTATGCTGTAGGAATGGGGACTG